ACACACACACTCACACACACACACACACACACACACACCCTGCCCACCACTTTTACCAGCTGCTCCTTTCAGGCCAGCATGACTGAACTATGCTCACCAAACCATCAGTCATTCGAACTGCTTTTTCTCTCTTGCCATTAAATTAAATCTCTTCCCTAAACAGTAACTAAAATCTATAGTGGATCTTTGCATTTTTGCACAGCCCTATGGAACAGTTTTACAGTAATGATCATTGTAGCTTCAGCTCTCTGCATACTTGAACAGTTGTCAACTACTTGAAGACTTCTACTCAAATAAACTTTTGCTTGAATTTATACTTTTTACTTTCAGGTACTTGATACAAGACTTCTCGTATGTCAAATGACAACAAAATAAGGCTGGCATTATTAACAAAACTGGCTGCATGGATGCTTTGAGTGTTTAACATGTCTGCCTCACAGTTGTGAGGTTGGGGGTTCGATTCCTGGGCTCTTGCATTCCTGTGTGGAGTTTGGGGGGTTCGTTTGAGCCGGCAGCAGTGGCAGTGCCTTACCACCAGGTGGCAGCTGGCGAGTCGTGCATGTTCACCTCGACTGCTCAACTGCTCAACCCTCTGACACTCTCACACACATTTGACTCCGTGGTACACACTCCAATGCCATCACTCACCACACAACATCGACATGATCACTTCAGTTACATTTGGCAACAGTTTGCTGACATCAGTCCAATATGCCGCTCAATAATCATGCCATGCATGCTCCAGGCTGCCTGCCTGTCAGCTCCGCACTGTGTTGGCTTTTGTCATTTGTGCAATGGAATCGGATTCATTTTACACTTAATTCACTTCATTAAATTTGCACAAGAGAGAGGAAGAGAGCAAGCGAGAGAGAGAGAGAGAGAGAGAGAGAGAGAGAGAGAGAGAGAGAGAGAGACAGAGACAGAGACAGAGACAGACAGAGACCGAGACAGAGACAGCGAGAGAGCTTGCCTTCACTGCTAATTAAATACAAACACAAACGTCCTTATTGTTGTGCAATCATCTAGAATACAATGCAAATTAACTGGCACTTTGTCACGGGCAAAAACAACAGCTTCAAAACGTTAGGAATGAGCTGGAGAACATTAACGGAGGAATGGTAAAAGACCACACAATTGACTGTGTGAGTTCTGGCCTGATCTTGTGAGAGGCCGCCAGGCACAGAATTCAGTTTTACCTCTCACATCACTCAAATGAAAAGCTCTCACACCCTTCCAAAAGGCTCACAAACAGTACTGAAACTCTCTCAACACAATATTGAAACTCGCTCAGAACAGTTCTGAATCACTCTCAAACGTACTACTGATACATTCTCACTTGGGTGACTTAAACACTAATGCACCCAATTGAAACAATCTCTCACTCACTACTGACACTTTCTCACTCACACAAAGTAAAAGTCCTCACGCACGCACGCACGCACGCACACAACTAAAACATTATAACACAACCTACTAAAATGGTCTCATTCACACCTGAAATAGTCCCTCTCAAACATTAAGAGAAAATGCTGTGCTTAAAGTCGTTCGTGTATTCGTTCAATACTCTTGATCTGCAGTTTAAGGCCGATGTCTTACGAAGTTGGCCAAAAATGACACTAGTAGTGGGGGGGGGGGGAACGTTACGAGGCAGTCGTTCTACTCGTGTGTTGAATTTTCTTAGCAGTGAGGACAAAGAGCTTACTAGTGTGTACATGGACCTGAGGGATATAGAAGTAATGCTCACAGGGCTTTCCTCAAGTGTTCGGTATGCTCACAGGTGGGCACTCTTACAGGAAACAGCCTCACTCAATCTCTCTTCTGTTATTTCAGGACTCATTCCTGCATAGTCTTTGGCTTCACAGGCGCGGTAACAATGCCCTACATATGCAGGAAATCAAACGCACCCAAGAGCAGCTCATCATAATTCAAGTGACAGGTGACAAGGAACGACACCATCGTCTGAAATCTCTTGCAACAATGAAGAACAAAACCTGCCTTTAAGTGTCAAGTGGGTGCATTGGGGAATGTGTATCGTCAGCAGGAATCATCAGGCACAACGACGCACATTAATTTGTTATCTGGCTCAGTAGTCGAAATTTGATACATGAATGTTTACTTCCTTTGACATTCGTTCCACTGACGATGACAGAAGTCATCATAAAAATATTGAATTTGGAGATAAAAAGGGCGTAACATTGCTCATTTTCAATAGTTAGAGTAGATCACAAACTGTAACTGCAAAAACACATTCAAAACATTTTGGGGCAGTGGGGGATCTTTAACGTATTAATGGACTTTACATTCATTTCAATGGGGAAAGATGATTTGAAATACAACCGTTTCCAAGCGTGGTCAAATTTATCTCACACCTCACGGCACCATTGCATTTGTAAATCAAGTTATGCGCTCAGTAATGGAACAAATTAAACTCAAGGTATTACTGTAAAAGATTGTCGGAATGCAACAGCAATTTGTCATGGCCAAAGAGTCTATTTAATGCAAAAAATGTGTGGAAATCTGCACTGTTTTAGTCTAAAATTTCTGTTAAAGTTTTTCTTTTTCAATGTCACATTGCTTGTTTTCAAGTGAAAAAAATGGAAGGTCTGCTTCTATTCAATAAACTTAATCAAACTTTTGCAACATTGACGTCCTGTTTTATATTCTCCTCTACTTTGGTTCGGTTGTAGTCGAAGGGTTTGCTGAATGCACTCAGGTGCATTGTTTTGCAAACATTGATTTTTTTTTTTTTTAATGAGTTTTCCGTTGTGTAATTTAAGAAACAATTTGGATGAGGATAATAGAAAAACATTTAGTCTTTGTTTGAATACAATTTGTTTCAGCACCGAGACAGAGAATTATACTCTCTGAAGTCTGGCCTATCAATAGAGACCACATTTATCCAGAATGACCAGGCAACTGTGTAGCTGTTCTTTCTTCATGTACTATGAGTATGTCATCCGAGCCAACGATGCCATTAAAGGGAACATGTCACGGACAATGCATTTCAGTTAAGTTACATATAGTAATTAAAGGGCAAATAAAGCCTCATATTTCTTCTTGAAACGTTCTAACAGTTTAAAAATTCTATTGATCATCAGAGCTCGACCCAGCAAAGATGTAAGTCCAAATTACTTTTTGTATCCTTTTTATACAAGTGATAATTTTCCTGCCAAGTCACAACATGCAGTAAAATGTATTTCAAGGCTTCTTGTGGCCTCATAGCTCCATCTCTTTGTCCTTTTAATACCACACAAGCCTGCAGGTGCAAGAGTCCTCAGTCAGAGGTCACTTATGTGTCTAACGGGTGAAGACCAAAGAATGTTTTTACTGCAGACCCTCAGGTTTTAGGATGACCTTTTTCTTTCTGGACTTTCACTTCAGCAGCACTTTTGAACAGACTTCACACTATGCAGTCGGTAGCTTGACTTGCAACTACCCCAATGCGAGTTTTTTTGAGTTGTCTTTTTTTTTTGTGTGTGTGTGTTGCTAGCCAAAATGCGGGTACGACATGGGAGCGTCAGATAAGCCGCTATTCAGGTAAAGCAGGGGGGGAAAAAAAATCACAGCAATTAAGGTACCGTAATGTAATTCAGTCAAAAACGCAAATAACAAAATGAGAACAAGTCACTCAAACGTCTCATAAGAAAAATGAATTAAAATATCCTTTGATTTAAAGAAAAATGTGATAGTTTCTATGATACCGTTATGTAAATTCAGGCATCAGGGGGTAATGCATTTGTCTAGAAACTGCCCCCCCTCGTCCCTCTGACTCTCTTCTCATGCTATGTATGGACTCACATCTTCTTAATGTGCACGTGCAGACTTGATTTAGGAAGATAATTCAAATTTGTAGCTGCTGTCCAAATTTCTACCCCAAATAAAAGTCAATGTGGAAGATAATTTATCTGACCTTAAAAAAAAAAAAAAAAAATCTAAAAATTGGACTACCAATTGAAATGGTATCTAATCAATAAAGGAAAACCAACTCCGGTGATTCAAGGTCTGCTTCAAACATCATGTCAGCAAAATGTCTGTTTGCCAGATTTGTCATGCTACTAATTTAATGGCAAATAGGCCACTAAATGCCTACTGACGCTAATGTCAGTGCCTCACCAGCCATGTTCCTCACCGTATGTCACGGCTGTATACAGTAGTTAGCAAAGATGCGTCTTACCTGTCGCTGCTCTCTGAATGAGCAACGTAGCTTCAGTTCCGATGGGGCACTCTTTGAGCATCTCCACCACACGTCCGTGTCCGGCCGCCGCCACCGGCTGCTGGTTCACCTCCAGGATCAGATCGCCCTCGATCAGGCCTGCCGCCGCCTGTGAGCCCGGATCCAGCACCTGCGAGCGCAGCTTGAAGTTAGCCTCTGGCTTTTTATGTCGAATTTTGTGGATATTTTTTTTTACACAATGTGTTTGGCAAGAAATTATCGACCGACTGGATATGTGCCACGTTACAGGAGGTGCACATATTGAACACTTATGAAATTGCCCCCGGATTGAACTTCTGCCATTGGCGCTGGACTTAATAGTTCTCAAGATCATTGGTTTGAAAATTATGTCAATTTTTGGAGGACATTGTGCATATTTCAACACTTGACCTGTTTGACTCGCTGGCCAGTAGGACTGTCTGCGATAGTGAACCCGAAGCCCTCCGCTCCTTTCACAATGGTAACAGTCAGCAACTCGGCCGCTTGGCCCGTCGCCCCAGCAACACCCGGCGTCCCGGAGGAGGCCATGGAAACGTTGTCCTCATGTGGTGTGAGCGCTGACGATGAGCCGGGCGTGGTGGGCGGCAGCGAGGAACCGTCCAGGTGGGTGTCCCCTGGATGGGATGTGCCGACTTGTGCCAAGGCCTGTGCGGGCAGCTGGGAGCTCAGCGACAGATACTCCATGTAAGGATCGTAGCTGCTGCGACCGTTCACCACAAGCGGGCGGTGCTCCATCCCGATAGGCGTCATGGAGCTGCTGGCTGCCGCGTTGGGATCCTCAGGGTCAAAGGGGAGAGGGTAGCCCCGGCAAAGCACCAGGGTGACGCTCTGACCGATGGGAACCGACTGGAAAAGCTTGACAACGTCGGCATGTGTGGTGCCCAACACGCAGATGTCGTTCACGTAGACGATAACATCACCTGGAGGAAATGTGATCAACAAATGTTTTGACCATTTTCTGCTTATCAATGTTCAAAACAAGAGTACAATGGTACCTTGAGATACAAGTAACCCGATTTTGTTATATGTGAGCTCTCATTTGGCCGATTCTTTGCTTTGACTTGCAAGCAAAAAGTTGAGAGATGAGCACTACATGGTGGCAGCGAACTCAACTCCCTTCACAACAAGAAGTCTGGCACAGAGTGATCAATTCCTGAAAAATGAGGCCTCGAGCTATTTATTGCCACTCCCATAAAGAGAATTTTACAAGTTGCGTATTTAAAACAACCAGGTCACTTTCAATGCCCACTAGATTAATGCTAACGCACAATGCAAAATGACCTAGATGTGCTAACACATAGCATCTTATAATGCTTTAAGCAACAGATCATCGAATAGAAATTATGCAGCAACATGTAGAGACTAGTGATGTGCCCGACTGTGCCGAGGCTCCGATGCGTGTGCCGAGTAAACCGGAAGAAAATCTGCGAAGCGCGCTTCGAGGCATGTGTCGATTTCGCTTGTGGCCACGCCCGATGCCTCGGAACGCGCGTTGCTCCGCCCGAAGCTTCGTGAGACGGGATTCCGACATCACCGCCAACAAATAGTTTCGCGGGTGATTCGAAATAAAATGGCGCACCGGGACGACAATGAGCTGACAGGTGACACTGACTAGAGATAAGATCGGGCCGCCCGAGCCCGCGGGTCGAGTCTGGGTTCTCTCTCGCTGACTTTTTTTTTGTTCATTACGAGGCCGTGAATAGTTTTGGCCACGAGAAGACCGGGGTTCGCCAAAAAAACAGAAGTGGCCTCATCACAACATGTACTGTACGAAACACTCGCAATGACAATTCAAAGAACTCCTTCATGTCTCTATGATCCAGC